GGCAGTATCAATTGGAATACTTGGGCCACATCATTTATGGCCAAGGTATTACCGTCGAACCTTCCAAGGTGGATTGCATATTGAAATGGCCTATCCCAAGGGATGTCAAAGCCCTCCGCGGGTTTCTAGGGTTGACAGGATACTATTGAAAATTCGTCAATGGCTTTAGGGCAATTGCCCTACCTTTAACCAATCTTCTCTGCAAGGATTCCTTTGTTTGGATTGATTTGGCATAGAAAGCATTTGAAGAGTTGCAACGTGTTATGACTACTGTTCCAGTCCTCACAATGCCAGACTTCTCAAAAACATTCATCATTGAGACAGATGCTTCAGGACACGGTATCGAGGCTGTCATAATGCAGGAAGGTAGGCCTTTGGCATTCTTAAGTCAATGAATTTCCAATCGCTCATGGCTTCAATCAGCATATGAGAGAGAGCTAATGGTTGTGGTTCTCGTCGTCCAGAAATGGCGTCATTACCTATTGGGCCGTCATTTCATCATTAGGACTAACCAACGGAGCCTCCACTATCTGAATGAGCGGCGGTTACAGGGCGAAGAATAACACAAATGGATAATCAAGTTACTCAGGTTGGACTATGAAATACAATATAAGCCAAGGTTAGAGAATAAAGTCGCGGATGCCTTATCTAGACGTGATGGCACGGTTGAGTGTACTGCCATTTCGGTCTGTTATTTTGCAAAAAAAGAAAAGTGGGCAGATGCCATTCAGCGAGACAGCAAACTGCAGAAAATTTGTCAAGATCTGATTACTGATCCTTCTAGTCATCCGCATTTCAGGTTAGTGGGTTCCTTACTTTATTATGATGATTGCCTTGTGTTGCCCAGATCTAGTTCCCATGTGCAGCAACTTCTGCAGGAATTTCACTCCTCCCCCGCAGGAGGTCATTCTGGTTATTTCTGCACTTACAAGAGATTGGCACAAGTGGTCTTTTAGGAAGGTCTGAGGCAGGATGTCCAAGCTTATGTTAAGGCTTGTTCGGTTTGTCAACAGAATAAATACGATGCATTGCAACCTGCGGGCCTTTTACAACCTTTGCCCATCCCCTCTCAGGTTTGGGAGGACATATCCCTGGATTTTATTGAAGGACTTCGTAAGGCAAATAGGGTGGATACCATTTTGGTTGTGGTGGATCGCCTTACGAAGTACAAACATTTCCTTCGCTTGTGCCACCCTTATACAGCTCAAGAGGTCGCCAACCTGTTCCTTACAGAAATTGTCAGATTGCATGGTTTTCCCCACGCCATCGTCTCCGACCGAGATGGAATTTTCATGAGCCTTTTCTGGGGAGAAATGTTTAAACAGTCCAGGACTCAACTCTACATGAGCACAACNTCACAGCTCAAGAAGTGGCCAACCTGTTCCTTACAGAAATTGTCCGTTTGCATGGCTTTCCCCGCACTATTGTCTCCGACCGTGACCGAATTTTCATGAGTTTATTCTGGGGGGAATTGTTTAAACAGTCAGGAACTCAACTCCACATGAGTACCGCCTACCATCCTCAAACGGATGGTCAAACGGAGGTTGTCAACCGTTGTGTCGAAACCTACCTCCGTTGTTTTGCAGGGCATCAGCCGCATCAGTGGCCCAAATGGGTAGCCTGGGCAGAATACTGGTTTAACACCACTTACAACCGCTTTTCAGGAATGACTCCGTTCAAGGCTCTCTATGGTCGCAACCCTCCCATTCTTTTAAAATATATTGAGAACTCTTATGTGGTGGATGCCGTAGACCAGCAACTAGCAGCCCGCAATTCCATCTTAGAGGAATTAAAGCTAAACCTGACTAGGGCCTAAGAACACATGAAACAATATGCTGATGGCAAACATTGGGAAGTTCACTTGGCCATAGGGGACTCCGTCTACCTGAAACTTCAGCCTTACCGTCTTCGCTCCCTTGCACGGCGAGTCAATGAGAAGCTCAGCCCCCGTTACTACGGACCCTTCTCCATTACGGCCAAAGTGGGTCAGGTTGCGTATCGCCTCGACTTACCCCCCACAGCCCGGATACATGATGTCTTTTATGTCTCGCAACTGAAACGAGCCACCGCTGCCCCTATGACTACCCAGCCCCTTCCCACCGTACTCACCGGTGACCTGGTCCTGCAAGTCGAACCTGAACAGGCACTGCGTAAACGGCGCCTCCTGAATGGTAATTATGAAATCCTAATCAAGTGGAAGTCACTTTCCCATTGTGACAATACATGGGAGGATTATGCTGCCATATGCCACCAATTCCCTTCTTTCCACCTTGAGGACAAGGTGGCACTCCTTGGGGTGGGTAATGATGGACCACCAATAGTCAAGTGGTATAACCGTAAAGGGCAAAGAAGGAAGAGTCATACAGGACAGTTGGAGCAGCAGCATAACAAGTAAGGCAGTAGCACAACAAGCGTGAATGAGTTTGTTTGACTGGTGGAACAACAACATAGCTAGCATGACAAATAAAGGAATAAAAGGAGAACCAGTAGAGGGGGGAGGCATTGAGAATATTGTTGGGAATTGTGGGGAGGAGCTGACCCTCGAAGATCAGCCTGGATTCTTGTGTTTTTCTGTTTTAGCCATATTTTCCTTTTTGTTTAATTCACTGTAATGAGCTACTGAATATCAATCCAAATATCCATTTTAAGCAAGACAATCACTGCCTCTTTTCTGTTCTTGGTTGATTTTAGTCTAAAATGAGTGATTGAATGCATGAGTAACTGAGTTACTTGGGTTGGTTCCATCATACAATTTAGTCAATTTTAAAGCTGAAAAACTATGGAAATACTCCAGTGCTGGTATTTTACTTAGAGCATCTGATTTTCTTTGGCGTAGCAAATGGTTTTTTGCTACCTGTTTATTAAATAGAAAGAAGTGTTGTATCTGGTTGCATTTCCATGTTTCATATTCCATTAGTTAGGTGTGATGGCCATAATAAACATATGAGTTTATGTAGTACTGTTAAATTAATTTTATTGGGAGCTCCCTCACCTTTGCAAAAGTGTTGTATGTTGTTAGGATCCCAGATGGGCACCCTCTTCCGCCCCCCCTTCCTCTTCCTTGGCAAGCCAGTTTTCCCAAGAGAATTCTACTCAAGACCATTGCCCAACCCAATTTCTATCAATTTGAGAGTGGTTTCTTATCCGAATTCTCTTGTCATGTGCAACTAATCTTGGTTGGGATCTACAATAGTTTGATGTCAAGAATGCATTCTTGCATGGAGATCTGAAACAGGAAGATTATATGGACACTCCTTCAGGTTTTGCTAATGAGAAAACTCAAGGAAAAGTTTACTGTTTGAAGAAGGCATTATATGGCTTGAAGCAGTCACCTAGAGCATGGTTCGACAGGTTCATTAAGGCCATGATTTCTTTTGGTTATCAACAAAGTAATGCTGATCATGCTTTATTTATCAAGCACTACAATGGTAAGCTTATAATACTCATTGTTTATGTTGATGATATAGTAATGACAGGAGATAACTTAGATGAAATGGCTAAGCTGAAAAGATATCTAGCTTAGAAATTTGAAATCAAAGATCTTGATAAGCTATGATATTTTCTTGGGATTGAAGTTGCCAGATACGATAAGGGGATGTTTATCTCTTAGTGAAAATATGTCTTAGATCTCCGTAAGGAAACAAGTTTGTTGGGTTGTAAACTAGCTGACTCTCCGATTGTGGCCAATCACAAATTACAAGCTAGCATTGGGAAATCGGACGACGTGGGTCGCTATCAAAGATTGGTTGGAAGGTTGATTTATCCTTCTCACACTACACTAGATATAGCCGATGTTGTAAGTGTGGTTAGTCAATTTATGCATGACCCTCAGGATTCACATTTAGACGTTGTACTTTATATTTTGAGATACTTGAAGTCTGCTCCAGATAAAAGACTGTTGTTTTCTAAACATGGTCACTTAAAAATAAAATGCTATATATGGATGTAGATTGGGCTGGATCGCCTGATGATAGGAGATGTACATCGGGTTTTGCACATTTGTCGATGGAAATCTTGTCACTTGGAGAATAAAAAAAAACATAGTGCAGTAGCAAGATCAAGTGCAGAGGTTGAATACGGAGCCATGGCTCAAGGTGTTTGCGAACTTTTGTGGATTCAAAGACTAATGCAAGATTTACAGTTATTAAATGAGAAAAAACTGTTCTTATATTGTGATAATAAGGTGACCATTAGTATTGCTTACAATCCAGTTCAACATGATTGAACAAAACACATTGAAATCAATCCACATTTCATTAGGGAGAAACATCATTGTGGAATTATGGATCTCTCTCATGTGACGTCTGAAAATCAGTTGACTGATATTTTACTAAGGGTATCAGTAGCAAATCTTTCCATGGTTTAGTTTGCAAGATGAGTATGCGAGATATATATGCATCATCTTGTGGGGGAGTGTTGACAATATTACATTAATTTATGGTTTTTCCCTATATTTGTCTTAATTAGGGCTGAAATTAGGGCTATAATTAGGACTGTAAAATAGGTTTTTATTTTTGTAAATATTATATTTTTCCTAGTTTAGAATATTCCTATTTTAGAACTCTTGTATAAATAGGTTGCATTGTAACTTTCAGGATTAAGACAATAAGAATTATACCATTCAGTCTTTTGTCTTCACTGTCAACAAGAAGTATTCTGGATTTGGTTATTGAAAAAAAGGCCACAGTGCAAACCTGGATTTGGTAAATTTGGATGGAAAGGTTTTGAAAAGCCTCAAGATAAGAAAGAAGAGACCTGATTTTATGAAGTACTGTTCAATTTTATGCATCCCTTTGGTCTTGCTCTACAAGCATCAGTTATTTTTTCATTTTTTTTTTATAAATCAGAATGCTTTGTTTTGTAATTTTCATCTTTGATCCATTTTCTGTTGTTTTCTAGTTTAATAGAAGTTCTTGGTTGATTGCTTATCTACATTACTGTGTAACTCGATTTTCTATTTGGCAATAAATTCATGTTTTTTAGAGAAAGGAAAAAAGAAATTATGCTTAGTGCTTTATGATTCTCATGGTACATTATCAGGTTCTTGCTGGTATGGGACCACAGTCACAAAATGGTGTGCATGTCCCTGCTGCATTCAGAAATTTCACAATGTCTCAGAAGGAAAAAACTTTGGATGAGCTGGTGCAGGACAAGTGGCTTTGTTACACAGAAGATGGTAAAATAGGACTTGGTGTCAGGTCTTGCCTTGATTTGCGGAGTTGGTTCCGCAATCTGGATGTTCCTTCCTGTGAAGTGTGCAATGAAGCTGTACTGAAGGTTGTATTCAATTGTTTCTTTGCTACTCGACTTTCCAGATCTGATTGATGTTTGTTTATTGCAAAGTTTTATTTTTGTTTTTAATTTGATTGGTCCATATGATTATTTTACCTAATTAGCTTATTTGATACCCTTAAAGGAAGTTCTTTCTGGGCTGTTCTTGATGCTTTATCTCAAATCATAATTAAGTGGGCTGTTCTTGATGCTTTATCACAAATCGTAATTAAGTTTGTAACACTTCCAGCTAATATAGCTTTTATATGGGTCAGTTAGTTGGAGGTTAAGATATATTTAAAGATATGCATAGTATCAAAGATAAAATGTAATGCCTAGTTATTGCAATTTACCAAAGAACTTGAGGATTTAAACATCAAACTGATGCATTAGTCATATTTTTAAGCTGAGTTGCTGAATCATTGTTTACTGACTCCATTAATACTTTGTTTTTAATTATATTTGACAGGGAGAATTGTGCCAAAGCGAAGGTTGCGTGACTCGAATTCATCACTACTGCCTAAAGAAGAAATTTTCTCAAAAAAGGGTACAAGTCTTGACACATTCCTTGTATGAACAGATTTCTTGAAGATGATTATGTTAATGTAAATTTGTTTCAGGGCGAAGTAGTTTGTCCAAGTTGTGGCAAGCAGTGGCAGTTTGAAGCACCTAAAGAAGAACCCTTAGAGGGGGAGGTGAATGGGTTAAGTGAGAGTGCAGCATCTAAGAGAAAGAGGCTTAGAAGTGCAGATGGTGGTGGTAGTAGTTCTTCTCAAGCTTCCATACGTAGCTCTGATACAAGAAGAGTGACTCGAAGTTCTCGTCAAATGTAAATGCTCTTATTACTGAGTATAAGATGGAAATTGCTTAACTGGGTATCGTGTTGTGGTGTATTTTACTTAAAGCTAATACATGGTGGATTATTGATTAGCTTTAGGCTTTAGCTGATTACTTCATTTCATAAAAAATTGAATATTTTGAGTATGATTTTGATTTATTGAATTCAGCTGTTTGGATAATAATATAGACGATAAACAGGTGATAGAAATTGAAGTTATTAAAGCTCAAAAACTGTTTTTTAATGTTTGTAAATAATAATATATTCAAAGGCTAATCCTTCATTGGACGTCCGCGTCCCCTTTGTCTTTTTAATTTTTGAAGGCCTCAGTTTCTTGGTAAGTGCAAATTACTGAAGAATTAATTTAATAAATATAAATTGTATTACTTACATGCCTTGGTGAGTCTGAAACAATGATCACAGTAGCAAAGCTTTTTGGTCGTTAACCTCAATTCTTCTTCTCCCAATGCCATGCTGGAGCTTTGAGTTGTATAATTACGCTACAATTTACAACTATATATATAACTTGTTAATTATTTATGTTGTATTTCCTTGGGCAACAAGGATAACGTTACCCTTATTTTTTTACATCCCCTCAAACACAAACAACTTTCAATTTTCCCCTACCAACTTGGGAATTGACCACTTACACCCCCATGAAGACCATAGTTGACCTACGAAAAGACTAAAAATGTGGTTTTGAAAAAGAAAAAGAAACTCTAAAAAAAAAATTAATTTTTTTTAAAGTATATATATTTAAATATTAGGAAATATACATTATTATTTATATTTTTAACTTTTTTTCCGTTCTTTATTTAATCTTTTTATTATTTTGATTTCTCTGACTTAATTTGATAAAATAAATAAATGAGTGCAAGTATAATTTTCATTTTTAGCTTATTTAATTAAAAGAAGTTAAAGGAAATAATTTTTTTTTAAGTGAATTGAAGGGTAAAATGACTTGTTTACACTTCTCCTCATCCTTTTTAACATTAGAATTTTCACGACTACTAATAAGAGGTAGTCACTGGAGGTTCACCTGACCGTTAACTTCAAGACCCCATAAGACTAGTTAAAGTGCGCACAAGTTAGGTCGAACACTCCTGAATACCAAAAAAAAAATAACAATAATAACAATAATAATAACAATAGGGGGCGTTTGGATCCTATAATGTTTTATTATAAGGATATATTATATTAACGGAAAGAAAGATCACCTTAAAGATTATTGGGAATGTTTAGAAAATTTGTTTGGTTAGTTCGAATAAATTGGTGAATAATATTTTTGACTGAGAGGATAAATGGATGGGTATGTTATATAGATTACTAAATTGCCCTCATTTTTAAATATTAATATACTAGTATTTATTATTATTATTTTTTGAATAGTTTTTTTAACCCCCTATATTTAAAATTTTGCTAAAACACCCCAGCCATATAAATTTTTAATTTGTAGCAAAATCACCCCCACCCACCCCAAGCCACTGCCGGCAGCTAGCCACCACTGCCAGTCTTTGCCGACAGTCGACGGAATGGCGCACGACTGACCGTATATGGCTGGCTGTGCGCCGGCAAAGTTGGAAATGGCCATGGATCTGTGATCCGTGGCCGGAAAACGGCCAGATCTATGGCCATTTCACGGCCAAAGATGTGGCTTTGAAACGACCACAAATCTGGTCGTGAAATAGCCATAGAAACGCCAAATTTGGCTATTTTCGACCATGTGATCCATGGCCGAAAAAGGCCTTATTGGTGCACGACTGGCCAAATCCCGTTGGTCGTGCACCATTACGACGATTGACATCGGCGGTCGGCGGTGGTGAGTCACGATCGGAGGTGGTCTTGGGTGGCTGGGTGTATTTTGTTAACTTTTAAATTTTTTTGTGGTTGAGGTGTTTTAGCTAATTTCTCAAATGTAAGGGGGTTAGGTAATTGTTATTTGATAGATATTTGAGAGTAATTGTATCCGAAATAGTTTTTAATTAAGGGCAAAATGGGTAGAAAAATCAAATTACCCCGATAATATTTTAATAACACTCCCTAACAAGGCGATAAGATTATCCCTCGCATTACCAACAGTAAACACTATTTACAATAAAAGATTACTATAATACTTTATTACTTGTAAACCAAACACATAAATTTTATAAAATAAACGAAGATTACTTCCATTATCTTATTTATCCCTGATCCAAATGACCTTACAGGTGTAAGTGACTAATTCCCGAGTAAATTGTTTGTGTTGGAGGGAGTAGAGGTGGGCCTTCTCAAGGACTGGTCCCAAAACGGGACCAGGCCTAAGGAGGAGGGCCCGAGCCCTCCACTGGACCCTCCGGTCCCAAGCCCGGGCCCAATTTTTTTTGACTTTTTCAATATAGTCACTATCAAATTACCAAAAACCCCCTGTCATTTTTAGAATAAACATAAAATACGAGGGCTAAAATAAATTTGACAAAATTTATTAAAAAAAATAATAATAATAAATAAATAAAATTTAAATGACCCTTGGCTGCTGCAGGCCTACAACAGCCAACGGTAATGTTTTTTATTTTTAACCGTTGGCTGGCAACGGTCACAGCCAACGGTTATAAGTTAAGGGAAATTGTTTCAAAAGATGGAAGAAAAATATGAAAGATATTGGTTAGATATTCCATTCTTATATGGATTAGGCCTTGTTTTAGATCCTAGGTTTAAATTACACGTAGTTAACTGTATAATTACTGAGATAGGTCATCATTTAGGACATGATTATACATCTTATTTGACTAACTTTAAACAAAAATTGTAGAGCCTTTTTTCTTTATATGAGAACAGGTATAATGGAAGTGGAAGTAGAACGTTCAAGAGAGAGGATCCAAACCTTAATGTAGCCCTCCGCCAAGGATCGAGCAAGTGGACGTATGTGGAACGTGGTGGAAGTAGCAGTTCCAGCTCATACATACATGGATCAAATGAACTAAATCGTTACCTACAAGTGGACATGTCCTATATGACGATGAAGGAGCAACATGATATGGATATTCTTCAGTAGTGGAACCAACATGAAAGTCGATTCCCCATTGTAGCCCAAATGACATGTGACATTTTATCTGTGCCGGTTTCTACAATTGCATCCGAGTCAACATTTTCAACGAGTGGTCGGATTGTTGAAGACAGAAGATATTCTTTAACCGATGAGATGATTGAAGTGATAACGTGTTTATGAGATTGGACTCATACAGAAAGAAGACTACAACAGCACCCTGAAGATCCCGAACTACTCGAACTCTTTAGGAATACTGATTTGAATGATGTAAATACTGTTGACGATGAAAATGAATAATTTAATTAAAAAAATTATTTAATTATTTATTTGTGAAGCGTGAATGTATAAAACGTGAATTTATATTAAAAATTAAAATTAACTATTAATTAATTTATTATTTTTTAAAATTAATTAAATTTTTAAAAACTTATTAATTACCCTTACAAAATACTAAAATCCCCTTATAAAATTTCGTTTCGCCCCCAAAATATAAAAAAAGATCAGAGGGAAAAAATAAATTGTCTAGGCCCATAGGACCGGTCCTGGGCCTATAGGACCAGTCCTAAGAATCAATCTGAGTCTTTATTTTGCTCATGGGGGGCCAGGCCCATGAACTACTGGTTCTATTTGCGACCGGGCCAGGCCTACTTGGGACTGGTCCTGCCCACCTCTAGGAGGGAGTGTAAGTTTTAATTCATTTTATTTTAAATTTATCTTGGGTAAACATTGTGTGCTCCAAGAACTATGAAAGCATTCATTGGTTTGGGAATTTGAACATAACTGTCCAATTTTTGGTTAGAAAAAGCTGTCAGAGTATGGAAATGTTAATTTTACCCTTAGGTTGACACGACAACCATTAAAGTACCTAAATACCCTCAAATTGAAAACAAAACTATCAATATACACATCTACAGAAAAGACATATTCAATGTAATCACTGCAAATTTTGTTTACATAGATTGACCATAATGCCTTTAATTAACATTGTGAAATTATCATTCCGCCCTTAGTAGATGAAATTTGACAGTTTGAATGTGGCTGGTTCAACGGTCAAAAAGCTCGAAATGCAATAAAAAAACTCATTTCATTCTTCATAAGCTTCATTCATGTGCCCGAAACATATTTCTTGTATAATCGATCACAACAACGTTATCAAGCAACACAAGTAACCCTGTAAAATTTTCAAATTCTACGTCAGTTTGTGTAAGAAGGAAAATTGGTGTTGTCAAGTTTAATAAGAAATAGTGTAGATGAGAAAACATAGCTAATATAAAGATCTCCTAGACAACAGAGGATACGGTCATACTTTTTTTTTTGTTGCGCTTCTGTGACCTCTATGCTTCGTGGGTGCCAAACAATTACAATTACAAATACAACATAAACCATGAAGAAGCTAATCTATTCCATGCCAAAGGAAGAAATATCACAACACTGTTATTTATTGGCGTCATGTTGGTTTGGTTTAATTAATTAAAAAAAAAAAAAAAAAAAACATATTTGAAGTTTATAAGCAGAAAAATAGACCATATATTATAAAGTTATACTAAATCACAAGCACATGCAATATGACAAAAACTAAAGTAAGGAAAGCATTACAAACAGTAGCATAACATTGACACTATGTTGAACACTTTCATTTACTAAACTACGAGAGTTCCTGATGTATATTGATCAAATTTTAGTGTGAGTTATTTGTTGAAAATTGACTTATTAGCAATTCATAAGGATCAGGAATTTAGCAATATATAAGGAATGAGAATTTAGCAATCCCACTTTTAGTGAAATAAGAATGGGATAATTTGTAATCCTACATCAAATGAGAATATAAATGGAATTAGGATTTTGGGTCTATATAAAGGAGGCCAAGTTTTATTGTTGTTCATCCCAAAAATTAGTTTCTTTTCTACCCCTATTGTCAAGGGTTATTACCCTATAGATTAGAGTTTTTCTGGATTCCCTTTGTTTTGGGTATTTGTAATATTAAAGTTTTTCT